CCCCCCGCAAAAAAAGAACATCAGCCTAGAAACATGTCAGTTCAAGAGTAGGCACAACGCAGCACAGCTATGTTCAAGTGGTGCTTCTCTCACTTTTAAAACAAGGAACTAACTGTTCAGTGATTAGCTCTGGGGAGTGGGAGTTAGAATGACTTTCATTTTTGTATGTGTGCCTGTGTGCACAGATCTGGGGCTTGAACTCACAGCTTTGTTGCTCAAGGCTAGTATTCTACCCCTTGAGCCACAGCTCCACTTACAGCTTTTTTTAAAAAATTGGAGATAGGAGTCTCACAGATGTTCCTGCCTAGGCTGGCTTTGAACTGCTTTCCTCAGAGCTCAGCCTCCTGAGTTGCTACCATGAACAGGCATGAGCAACTGACACCCAGCTAGTCCCAGAGCTTTTTTGCTCAAGGTTAGTACTCTACCACCTGTGCTCCTCTTCTGGCTTTTGGGGAGTTAATTGGAGAGAAGACTCTCACAGGCCTTCCTGCCCAAGCTGGCTTTGAACCACAATCCTCAGACCTCAACTTCCTGAATAACTAGGATTACTGGGGTGAGCCACTAGTGTCAGGCTTCATTTTTTGTATTTCATGTATTAGTGTAGGTTGAATTTTTACAATAAGCATGGATTTTATTATTTTTAAAGTGTTTCTACTTTGAGAATAGGCATAAGTAACTTAATTTGGTTCCAGTAGACTTTAAGAACAAAGAAGAAAGCTAATCTCATTACTTTATCACCAGAAATTCTAGCATTAAGAAATGTCAGCAAGAAACATTCTATAGAGACCAAAGTGAACTCTCAAGCAGAAATTTCACAAATATACATTGATACCAACAGGTTATAGCTTAAGAATATAAATGTATTGACTTTTTTGTGAATTTCTATCGCACATAGTATCCTTCCCTCTAGGCAGGTGAACAACAAAGGCTTCATGCCTCTCCAGACCAGAGGACAAGTGTGAAAGTAGGCACTTTAGACAGAGAAACAGGATTGCAAAGAACAGACACATTTTGAAAAAGATCCCTTTGATGCACCTTCTTAAGAGCTTGGCAAAAAAAAAGAAGAAGAAGAAAAAGAAGAAGCAGGAAGCAGTAAAAACTTAGAAGTTACAATGAAATCGAAATACAAGGTCAGAAGCTGAGTGTGGTGGCAGCAGACCTATAATCCCAGCCCTAGGAAGACAAGAGGCAGAAAGAGAAGCAAGTTCAAGGCCAATCAGAGCTACATAGTGAAGTTTAGTCCCTAAATAAATCAATAGGAAGAAAAAACACAAGGTCAAAAGCATGTGGTCGTTCACATTAGGTCTTGTTAAAACATGATTTCTCTTTTTTCTCTGACAACGATCTGCCATCTCCTTTCACTCCCCCCCACAAGCGGTGGTAAGTAGACTAGTTAGAGATGGAAAGAACAGAAAGTCTTTGGCAATGACTGTTCAATCTGAGTTAAGATCATGAAATTTTGGTCTCTTTTTGTTTGCTTGAGATACAGTCTCCAGTTCTGTAGCTCAGGCTTGACTAGGAACTTGCAATCCTACCTTGGCCTCCCAAGTACTGGGATTACACCTGGTTGAAATTTAGTCTTAATGAGAAACTCTGCTGTTAAACAGCTGATTATTAAAAGGCTTCGGAATAGCCTTTTACCTCAAACTATGCTTGTTTACTGTTTCTTTAAGAGGAGGATGTGACCTGTAGTTCCCAAAGCCATTCAGTTATTACTGAGACATTAAGTATCAGAAAGTGACTCAAAAATGAAGTTTGCGTGAATGCTCATCATGTCGTTTACACTGACAAAATTTTATAGAATCTAAATGTCTCCGTTCTCCAAAGAAGACTGTAGTTAAAGCTGTCATTCGATTTGCACTTTCCCCGAATCTGCTTCAAAGTGCCTCGAGGTCGCCCCCCAAAATTCTAAATGTATCACGTGTCATCAGGATACAAATCGGGGTGTCATGGTGCACGCCTGTAATCCTAGGAAGAGGGCTTGGAGAGAGGCGCTCAGGCAGGGAAGAGGATGACGAGTTCGAAGCCTGGGCTACACAGCAATGCGGGGGGGGGGGGGGACTCGGAACACTGAGCGGGTTCGAAAGTCGGAAGGAAAAGTTGTTCTTGTCTCGAGGCTTACCGTAGGGATGGCAACCCGTAGAGAGCCGCGCGCACCTTCCTGCCGCACTTAGGGAACACCCGCACACGTACACACGCCCTACCCCCAGCAGTCCCGGCCTGCCATTAACCTCTTCCTAACTTGCAATAAGGGGGCTGTCAAGGCCTCAGACCGCGTGCACACTCGGTGAGGTGGACAGAGGGCCGGGAAGGGGCTGCGCCCGACTCCGGCCCGCACACGGGAGCGCCACCGCCGCCGGATCCGCAGCCACCGCCGCGCTCCCCGACACACCAGCTCAACTCTAGTGAGCGCCACCGCTGGAGGAAGCCAGCGCACTTTCTTCCCACAGAGAGAAGCCCCCGAACTTGCCCAGACCTACGACTTTTTAACGGAACAAAACCCCAAGTGTGCCGGCCAGAAGAGGGGGGGAGGGGGAGGAAGAGGGTGGGAAAGCGCGTCGGCAGAATTCGCGCGGCTCGGACGCCTCCACCCTCGGAGCTCGCCCAAGTCTGCGGCCTCGGGCTCCGGGACGCTTCCCCTCCCACCCGCCGCAGCTGTAAGTTGAGAGAAGCGGGCTCCGGGCCCGTCAATCACCCGAGTCCTCCCGCCTCCCGGCTACACCTCCCCTCCCCCCCTCCAAAAAAATAAAATACCGGCGGTGGGAGCGGGGGTGGGGGAGGACAGTAACTAATTTGCCAAGTCGGCGGCACCCGGGCTTCGCCTCCGACCCGCGGGGACCGCGCGCTCAGGACCCGGACGCCGCGGTGGAGCAGGCGGCCCTCAGCCGGCCCGACGCCGGGTCCCCACCAGGCGTCCGCGCTCCGGCTCCCCGCACGGGTCCGGCGCCGCTCCGGCTCCGCACTCCTGTCAGGCCCGCGCGGCCCGTCGTCCTCTCGACCGGGCTAAAGTTGCGCAAATGAACACCACAGCGGGCAAATACTCACCGGCCGCAGCAGGAACCCGGGCTGTGGAGATTTTAGGGAGTTTAAGGC